TCCTTTCATCCGTCCTTCCCTTCCCCTTTCCGTCCTTTCCTTTCCTTCCCTTCTTCATTCATTTCATTTGCTTCCCTTCTTCATTCATTTACTTCCTTTCCTTCTTCATTCATTTATTTCCTTTCCTTTCCTTCTTCATTCCTTCTTCATTCATTTATTTCCTTTCCTTTCCTTCTTCATTGATTTACTTCCTTTCATTTCCCTCCATTCATTTATTTCCTTTCCTTTCCTTCTTCATTCATTTACTTCCTTCCCTTCCCCTTTCATCTGTCCTTCCCTTCCTTTCATCTGTCTTCCCTTCCCTTCATTCATTTACTTCCTCTCCTTCCCTCCCCCTTTCATCTATCATTCCCTTCTTCAACCACTTATTTCCATCCCTTCATTCATTTACTTCCTTCCCTTCTCTTCTCTTCCCCTTTCAGGTGTCCCTTCCTTTCCTTCTTCATTCATTTATTTCCTTCCCCTTTCTTCTTCATTCATTTCCTTCCTTTCCTTCCCTCCCACTTTCATCTGTCCTTCCCTTCCCTTCTCCGTTCACTTATTTCCTTCCCTTTCCTTCATTCATTTTCTCCCTTCCCTTCCCCTTTTAGCTGTCCTTTCTTTTCCTTCTCTTCCCTTCCCTTCCTTCTTCCAATATGGAATTTGGGGCAGGGAAAACACCCTATTTTCCTTGGTGGCCTGGGAACTGTTGAATACATTTCCTTGTCCCTGAGCTTCATCCGCCTGGGCTTTTCAGAGGCCGCAAGAAAATCATCCGCATTCTTTGCATGGCAATCCAAAGCCAAGATCTCGGATTACTCTCCCTCCCACTGTCCCCGTTGCTTCTAGAGAACGCTGGAAAGCCCTGCCTGAAAGCACCGTTTCAGGGGAACTAAAGGACTGGGTTGACATACTAATTCGGGGCTGAAAGCGGCTGAAATTCCTTCCTGGTGATTAAAAGCCGGGTGCTCTGTGGCAGAACAAATCCTGTTTATGAAACCGCCTGAATGAAATGTTCCTGCAGAGATCGCATTCCAGCACAAGCAGCCCTCAAGGATAGGAAAAGATAACCCCGAGTGATAACAGCTGCAACATCCTTCCTTTCCTTCCCTCCTTCCTTTCCTTCCTACCTCCCTTCCCCCTTCTGTCTCTCCCCCTCCTTCTATCCTCCCTTCCTTTCTTCTGCTTCTCCTTACTTCCCTCTCCCTTCCTCATTTCCTTCCCTCTCCCTCCTATCCTCCCTTCCTCTCTCCCTCCTTCCTTTCCTCTCCCTCTTATCCCCTTCCTCCTTCTTCTGTTTCTCCCTTACTTACTTCCCTCCCCCTCATTTCCCTCCCTCCTTCTATCCTCCCTCTCTCCCTCCTTCCTTCCCTCTCCCTCCTCCCTTTCTCCTCTCCCCTCCTTCTATCCTCCCTTCCTTTCTCCCTCCTTCCTTCCCTCTCCCTCCCTCCTTCTTTCCCTCCCTTCTGGTATATTTGGGCATACCAGGTGCTTTGACATAACACTTAATCATTTCCTTGGCTCAGCTGATAAGGGGAGGAGAGCTTGTGGCTTAGAGGTTAATATAACTGCCTTATATGTAAAAACAGCCCAGGTTTGAATTCCAGCAAGGGAATGGCTAGCTGATGAGAGCTAAATAGCTTGAAATAGATCTATACTAGTCTCCCTTCATTTGTTTATCAGCAGAAATGCAACACATAAATGGTTTTTCTGCCTCGAAGGCTCCTAGGGTGGAGCTGAAAGGCAAAAGGGAAGAAGTGCTGATTCCTGGAAAAAGAGCTGGGGACGTTTGCACCCAGTGGAGGAGAAGGGGAAAAGGATGACGATTCACTTCTCCGTGATTGGAAAAGAAAGGGATGAACCGAGAATGGCAACCTGACGTAGCAGATTCAGTCAGGGGCTCACGAGGCTGCGATGAGGAATGCCCCAGCTTGCTGAGTGCGCGCCCTCAATTTCCTTCCCCTTTTTCTAATTCAGAAAAGCTGATTCAGTTTCAGGGTGAAGGAGTATCTGGGGAGAGAGTTCTCGGAGGGTAAACAGGGGAATTTGGAGAAGCTGCCACAGACTCAGGGCATGTGATGGGGGCCTCGTGTTTTCGAGGGGCGGCCTCTGGGTCACGCTGACGCCTGCTCAGCGGCTACTTTTCCCCTTTCTGCTGAGTTGGTCGAAACTCGCTGCGTTTCCCCGAAATGGGAGGCCAACAACTGTTGCTGGCACCTGGGATGGGGTAGGGAGGGGGGGGAACCAGAGACGCATCACTGCAATGGGATATTTGCCAAGATAGAATTTGGTGGAATCTCGGCAGTCTTGTCTGAATCTGGGCTTTGAAATCCTATCCTATCCTATCCTATCCTATCCTATCCTATCCTATCCTATCCTATCCTATCCTATCTATCTATCTATCTATCTATCTATCTATCTATCTATCTATCTATCTATCTATCTATCTCTTATCTATCTATCTATCTATCTATCTATCTAT